TCTTGACAAACTTCTGGTAGACAATTGAACCCATTCCCAGCTCTTCGTAGTTTTTCTCTTGAATATAGTATCCCTTCAAGTCGTGGGGGCATGTGTGATCAAGTACCTTTAAACCAAAATCAGCATGCAGAGCAACAGAAAACTCCATCGGTTTGAAACATGCCAAAACCCGATCAATCAGAAAACCCAGATTCATAGCTTTGAAATCATAACCGGCTGCTTCAAAGCTAGCATAACTAAACCCATCCTCAGGGGTAACATGAATGGTAGACAGTGCAGTGCCTTCAATGGAATTCATGGAGTAACCACATGGCTCAAACTCAAAATCACATATATCAGATGCCGGGAGGATCTTCCTTATACCTGACTCGTTGGTCATCAGAGCTGCTGAGCTTGACTCCTTCTTGTAGAAAATAGAAGCCATATCCCTGTCCAAACCAGTCATACACATCTCTAAAGTGCAAGCAAGGTTATAAGATTTAGCACCTCTAGCACAGGCAGAATAAACATGCCATTTTTTTTGTTCGTCAGAACTACCCATAACATAAGCCTTGGTGCATGAGGAAAGTTCCCTGAAATAGCTATCAAGGACTGACACTTCCTCGGAGAAGCTACGATGAGGATATGACTGAGCTCCCGGGAAAATGAAACTCCCACGGGTATATCTCACAGTCAATACTGAAAGAGAAAGGTAGCCAGCCAACTTCAGTATGGGCGGGATGGACAAAAGCAATTTGGTTGTACCGCAAGTTTTGATGATAATCTTATAAGGATAAACAAAGAGACTAGACTCGGAGAGAATGTAGGAGTCTAGGTATTCATTCGAAAGTGAATCAACTATTGTGCACTCAGCAGGACCTAGAATCTCCTCCAACTGAGTTTTGGAAAGAGATCGAAGTCCCTTTCCTTCAGGATCAGCAAAGAGGCTTGGCTCGAAGAATGAAATTTCAAGCCTCTTTTCAAAACCTTCAAAACCAATTGCAGAGGCGGGCATAGCCATTACAGGAACAAGATTTTCTTCAATGCTGAAGACAGCAAATAAGAAGGCAATCGAAGAACAAAGAACAGGAGAACTGGAATTGAGAAGAAAAACTAATTAATTAACAGTTTGCTTTTGCACGTCAAATGACGTGCTCCAAAGACCAGTTAGGGATGTCAGGATGGTCTTCGAGCGCACTGCAATATTTTCAGAAATATAAATGTCAGGGTCATGAAGTTCTATATAAAAAAATTCAAAACACTCATCAAGAAACAAATCATCTAAATTTAGTAACCAGAAACTTACATTGGCGTATTCAGCAGATTGAAACTTCTTGATGTCACCGTTTGGTCGAATGTCTTCAATGCTGTATCCAAGGGGCACTTCGTAGAATAAGGATTTACTACTGGACTTCTTGCCACCTTTAGACTCCATTAGATCATCTACTCTAGGCTGCAAAATTACCAGACAAATTAAAAGAGCAGACAAGATTGTAAGATGGTTACCGCATAAAATAATCAAGTATGACAATACAAAGAAGTAACACAATTTAAACTGCACAGTATGAATACCAGCCATGGATACATTCATGGGGCGAGGTACTACAAACAGATTTTCATTGGAAAAAAGAAGAAGCACGAACACATTATTAATTTTATTTTGGCAGATACGCATATTGAAATATACTGGGGAACACAGGGTACAACATAAAAAATGAAAACGGAAAAAAATTGATGCCATTAGTTAAAAGGATACATGTTTAAAGAATAAAATTCATCAGATAATTACTAGCATGTCTATCGATTAGCCCAAAAACTAGTGTCTTTATATAAAATCTCTTTATTATCCCACAAGCATTTCACCCCACTTGAGCAAGATATCCATTTTGTGGATAAAACCTATACTTTTCATTGAGGTATTCACCCACCCTATTGAACTTTTAATGAATCAAAATTAGTTCTTAGGAAACCACTTGAGAATACAGACAAAAACAATCCTATACCATAACACATCTTATATCAGTTCCTGAGATGGAAATCAGATTTCAATCTTCAAATTCACTGCGAAAATTTCATAATCAAGATTAAAGCTGACCATTTTTTATATACAGAAATGCTAAGGCAAATCCATATGCAAAAAAGAACCAAATAAAAAGAACAATATCATACACACAAGTATATTAATACATCTACATGTGAATATCTTCAAAAAACAAAGGATTTTTGTCAGCATTTGCTAAAAACTAGATCAGAAACTCCAAAATATCTAATGCGTATTAACATAAATTTTCACCATATGTTTTCGCAGCTCAGAATTTTTAAGAAACCATTATTAATTTATATACTATTCACTAAAATTTCTACGAATGAAAAAATTATGCTGAATCCAATCTTTCTTTAAAAAAAGAAATAACCCAAGATGTTAACCAGAAAAGAAAATAACACAAGATAGATTGGTTTCATATCAGCACCACAGATTAAAACAGAAAACCCAATATTTCAACTGAGACAGATTACAGAATTCTTAAAGAGAAACCCATACTTACAATAACAAGATTCAAACTTTATGAACCAATAATCCCCAGAAATCACAATTGACGTCCAATAATTCCTACAAACAGCAAAAACAACACAAAAATCTGAAAATCATTTATGCACATAACAATTCCATAAGTTTTCTGCAATTTTAAACAATGCTTACGGAAGAAAATAATTCTTGTGGCTTTGTTGAGGACGAGACGACACCCTAGAAAAATCTGAAACGCAATATTATTCGGATTTTTGAATGTGGCTGGAGCTATGTATTTATATAGTTGGACGCAATTAATTACCACTGATTTCATATGATATTACAGTAATGCTTGTGTGATTTTTTTTCCTTATTTTGAATAACATAAATAATTTACTAGGGAAGGTTTTGCCTAATGGACCAAGATTTTAATGGATTCTTTTTCTAAATCATTGACCAAATTTCTCTCCTTGAGTTATAGTGCCAATTTTAAAAATATTCTAGATTTACGTAAAATCCTTGAAACGTTCATCGAATATTTTGAATAATTTAATTTTTATACAAATATTATGTCAATTTGTCTCCACACACGTTTTACAAGTAACTTATATGTACATTGTTTAGATAAATTAATCTATATTTTTATCAGAATTGTGTGTTTGATACATTTCTATTTAAAATATTTTATTACTATTTTTTTAAGTAAATCTTTTCAAATCTTTGTTTGGTAAATGACATTGATATTAATATTTATTTACATTTGTCCGCTATAGGATTTTGGTACTTACTTTCTTTATTCAAATTTGAGGTGGAAGAATAAAAGGGAAAACCTGTTGATCCCAATGCCATTTATTCATAAAGTAACAATTTTATTCAACATATACAATGAATTTGCTACCAAACACAATTATGTTAACTTATTTTCCTCCTGGAGATCATGCAGCTTTTGTGCAAAACATTTTAAGTGCTTTTATGTTTTATTCTTCAATGTGGAAATTTTTCTATTTGGCTTGGCTTGAAGAGAGATAAAATATAAGAGTAATTTCGTTGGAATTTGGAAAGAAGAAAGAAAGTCGTCTTTAATAAATAGTAATAGTTGTAATTTACATTCTGTATTAATTCTGGTTAAATTGTACGCAACTCTTTTTTAAGTTGTAATTTTTTATAAATGGCATGATTGTGTTAATCACGTTACAGTGTATGTAATATATTGAAATTGTAACTTATACTCTTTGTTAAATCTTTTCGCATTGTGTTAATTATTATTGTGGTTGGGAATTTACTTAAATATGCACTGCGAAAATAAGCAGTTTCAATTCCAATTCAAGATTCAGCTTTGTATTTAGATAAGAAATGTGATGAGAAATATATTTTTTTCTTGATTTTGCAAATTCTTTTGCGTTATTCCTTTCCAGTAATTTGAATCTGTCTCTCACAGATGTCCAATTGTCCAACCTCTAATGAAATCCACACAAAGAATAGATTGGAACTGTTAAGATTTTTCCTCTTGTGCCAGCAAGAATAATGAAAATCTTATGAATCTCAAACCCTATCCATGTATTTATATAAACCCAAACGGGCTCGGTTCGTCCGGTCTAATGCTTAATTAATCCATTTAATTAAACTCAATCCGTAAATTAATTAATCCAATTAATTAATTCGGAGATATAAATAATAAATCCAATTAATTAATTTATCCAACGATTGTTAAATTAATTAATTGACAATTTGCAATCTTCCAATTCTCTTTTGTGTGCGACCCATTAGGTTCCCGACCACGATACCTAACGACGTGAAATATTATTTTGACTTAATCAAAATTGATAAATTAAACACCCTTTTAATTTATCACAAATTCACACTCGTCATCCCAAATTGACATCTAGTAATGTATTAGAACAATACAAGTGACGAGAAATGTCACGTGGTATGACAAAATCAAAACTGTTCGTTTACCATGAAAATATAATCCATTCGTCAATATGATCTGATCAACTACGAGATATGGAAGTGTATTAATCTCGATTATCAATCATATCTTTCATTCTACTATTAAGTCAATATGAGTCGAAAACTCATTTTCAACTTATATGTTTACCTTGGCCAAGGATTTCGTTATTGACTTTAATTGAACGAAATCCAGATCACAATCTCTTACTATCTAATAGTGACGAATCCTCTATTGGTCATTCACAACCTTCATATGGTTCCTGACATACCCGAACGATGTCGTATTAGCGGTCCTTGGCAGAGCAACATCCAACACCGTCAAAGCATGACTGTCCTCATACAAGGCATTTTGATGACCTCAAGTCATAGGACCAATTCCACTACCGAACGTTAGAGATTAACCACTGACACTCAGATAGTTATCCATGTGGAATCTCTTAGCAGGTCTCCAATGCTTTGTTTTTTAACAAAATATCCACGTGTTCATTTAAGTGTCATCACACTTTAGCTCGTGAGATCAGCTACTTACTTCACAAGTAAGAAATGTCACACGTGATGGTCTTAACGATATCCGTATCTCATTATTACTTATGACCACGGTTTATTCAAGATCCAATCATACGTAATTTGTATCTCACAATCACAACTCCTTGTGATTAACAAATTACTTAAACTTGGATTTTCGGACTCTATTATTTAATATTATTTATCACAAAATTAATTTAAATAAATAATAGATCTTGCCAAAATTAAATCCATTAAACATATTAAAAGTGTTTACAACCTAAATTGATTGGATTTAGGGCATAACACTTATAAACTCCCACTTGCACTAGATCCAATCACTCATGTATCTAATATCATAAGCGTCCACATGACGATCATGTTTCTGTTGTGACAACGACTTTGTTAGTGGATCTACAATATTGTCATCTGTGGGAACTCGCTCTATCGTTACGTCATTTCTTTGTATAATCTCCTTGATGAGATGATATCGCCTTAGCACATGTTTGGATCGTTGATGAGACCTCGGTTCCTTCGCTTGTGCGATGGCTCCATTGTTATCACAATACAAAAGTATGGGATCAACAATGCTAGAAACGACTCCAAGTTCATTAATGAACTTCTTGATCTAGACAGTTTCCTTCGCTGCTTCAGAAGTAGCAATGTACTCGGCTTCTGTTATTGAATCAGCAGTTGTCTCTTGTTTGGAACTTTTCCAACTAATCGCTCCATTGTTGAGAGTAAACATATATCCTGATTGAGACTTGTTATCATCTTTGTCAGTTTGAAAGTTGGCATCAGTATACCCATGAATCTTCAGTTCATTTCCTCTATAGATTAAGAACACAAGTCATTCTCAAGTACTTAAGAATGTTCTTAACCGCTATCCAGTGTTTCTCACCAGTGTTTGCTTGAAACCTGCTCGTAACACTTAGAGCATATGAAACATCTGGTCTCGTACATAGCATCGCATGCATGATAGATCCTATCGTCGAAGCATAAGGAATCTTATCCATACGACTCCTTTCATCATGTGTTTTAGGACACATATCTTTTGACAGATAAATCCCATGTGACATGGGATATAAACCTCTTTTAGATTCTTCCATATTAAATCTTCTCAAAATTTTATCTATGTACGAAGATTAGGATAAACCTAGTAATCTTTTAGATGTATCTCTATAGATCTTAATTCCCAAGATATATGCTACCTCTCCCATATCTTTCATGGAGAAATTCTTTGACAACCATAATTTTACCGATTGAAGTATTGGGATGTCGTTTCCCATTAATAATATGTCATCCACATATAATATTAGGAATACGACCGAGCTCCCACTTGTCTTCTTGTAAACACACGGTTCATCTTTATTTTTTATAAAATCAAACCTTTTGATTGTCTCATCAAAACAAAGATTCCAGCTCATAGAGACTTGCTTTAATCAATAAATGAATCGATTTAGCTTACATACTTTGTTGGCTCCTTTCGATTCAAAACTTTCAGGCTGTGTCATGTACACCTCCTCTTGTAAGTTTCCATTAAAGAAAGCAGTTTTGACATCCATTTGTCATATCTCATAATCATGGCATACAGCTATTGCAAGTAAAATCCGAATGGACTTTAGCATGGCTATAGGCGAAAAGGTTTCATCAAAGTCAACGCATTGTTTTTGTGTGTAACCCTTCGCTACTAGCCTTACTTTATATGTATGGACATTTCCATCCGCATAGACCTTTTTCTTGTAAACCCATTTACAACCTATCAGTTTTATCCCACCTGGAAGGTCGACCAAGGTCCAAACCTTATTCTCATACATTGAGTTCATTTCGGATTCCATGGCTTCTTGCCATCTCTTCGAGTCAACACTTGACTTCGCTTCTGCGTAATTTGTAGGTTCATCATCCTCGATTAATAACACTTGATTAGTAATCGTGAATTCGTACCTTCTGGGAGGTCGAATGATCCTACTTGATTTACGCTGAGCTGGAGTGTCCTTAGGGTTCTCTACATCCTGATCAAGAGTGTCCGTCAACAGGTGTAGGATCAGACTCAGGTTCATCTAATTGGTCAACAGTATCTGTGGATTCTTGAACTTCTTCAAGTTCTAGTTTGCTCCCACTACCCCCTCCTAGAATAAACTCTTTCTCTAGGAATATGACATGTCTTGAGATGAATACTTTCTTCTCAACGGGATTATAAAACTGATATCCAATTGTCTTTTTTGGATATCCCACAAATACGCATTTATCAGATTTAGCCTCAACCTTATCTAATTCATTTCGCTTTACATAAACGTCACAGTCCCAAATTTTCGTGTGAGATAAGTTTAGTCTTTTTCCTCTCCATAGCTCGTATAGAGTTTTGTCGATCGATTTAGATGGGACACAATTAAGTGTGTAGCACGCAGCAATTACTACATGACCCCAAAATGATTTTGGGATGTTTGCATGGCTCATCATAGATCGCACCATGTCTAACAAAGTGCGATTCCTCCATTCAGATACACCATTATGTTACGGTGTATATGGCGGAGTCCATTGCGAGAGAATCTCATTCTCTTTTAGATAATCTAAAAATTCTCCCTTTAAATATTCTCCACCTCGATCTGATCTCAGCGTGAGAATATTTTTACCAGTCTATTTCTCTATTTCAAGTTTGAATTCCTTGAACTTTTCAAGTGCTTAATGCTTGAATTTCATCAGATACACATAACCATATCTAGAATGATCATCAATGAATGTGATGAAGTAAGAGAAACCACCTCTGACAGTTATTGACATGGGTCCACATACATCAATATGTATTAGTCCCGACAGTTCTATGGTTCTTTCTCCTTTTCCAGTAAAAGGGAACTTGGTCATTTTGCCTAATAGGCACGACTCGCATTTGTCAAATGATTCAAAATCAGTTGACCTCAAGTATCCATCTTTATGTAACTTGAAAATGCGTTTGTCGCTA